TCCTTTCCGCAGATGAGAACGTTCAAGGCCAGTGGGAGAACCGCAGCTAGAATCCAAGTCCCAACCCAGAGTTCTTTCCATGACAATCCAGTCATCTCATTACTCAATACCACTGCTTCATATTTTTATTTTTTCATACTATTTTCCCTAGCACTTCACTCACAGATTAAATGATTTTTATTATGAAGAGAACAAGCATGGCTTCAGCTTAATAGTGGCCTGAATATAAGGCAACCCAGCAGAAAGGAAGAAACTTAGTGAGACTGAGAATAAAATTGATAGGCTTAAAGATTTCACAACAGTAGAGCAGTGACTAAGATAATATACACAATTAAAGTATATAGGCAGCAAAAGGCCCTTGCTTCCCTTTGTGTCAACAAGGTTATAAACCACATATACGTGGTTATTGGTGATGTCACTTTCCTTTCTGTTTTTATGTTTATTATTGCTTTACAGTCTTTTTTTTGTTTTATTTGTTTTTTTTTTTTTTGTTTTTTCTGAGACAGGGTTTCTCTATGTAGCTTTGCGCCTTTCCTGGAACTCGCTTTGTAGACCAGGCTAGTCTCGAACACACAGAGATCCGCCTGCCTCTGCCTCCCGAGTGCTGGGATTAAAGGCATGCGCCAACACCGCCCGGCTGCTTTACAGTCTTTAATTATAATTTAGTCATCACTAGGAATATAATCTGTGAAATTAAGATCCTAAAATAATATAACTGTCATCTACATGTAAATGTTTCTAGCAACATTAGCTATTAAAAGTCACACACACACACAAAAAAAAGCAAGAGCAACCTATAGGACTCCCAAGAGACAGATTATGGGGTAAACCAAATAAGGTATGACTTATACAACGGGGTATTATTTACCTGTTAAAAGGAGTGAAATTTTCTTCCATGCTACAACATAGATGATTTTTGAAGCTATGATGCAACGTGAAAGGAGCCAGGACCAAAAAGGCAAATATTGTATGATTCCACTTACAAAGGGGTGTCCGGAATGTTACATTCACGGGGTCACAGAGTGTAATGGAAGTCGCCAGGCACTCATATGGGCGATTGAGAGTTACTGTATTTAACATGGACACAGTTTTTGCCTGAGGATGATAATGACATTCTGAAAGTGACTATCTATGATGATTGCTCTACACTGTAAGTGCATTTGAGGCCATTAAATTAAAAAGGATGATTTTTATATCATGCATACTTTACCACAATAAAAAACAGTAAAAAATTAAAGAAGATTGTCAGCCTTGAATTCTTTACCAATTGAAGTAACATTTCACAAATGACAATGAAGTAAAAAGGTTTCGGAATATCCTTCTGCCCCAGAGAGCAAAGGGCGCTCTGGGGGAAGGCGGAAACATGGCAATCCAGAGCAACAGAATGAGAGACTGTGCAGGTCAGGAAGTAGAGACCGATGTGTCCCTGCAACATGATTTTATTTATGTAAGGTTTCATGAGGAGAAGGAAGGGCTTGCGGCATGATACTGTGTTCTAGAAGGTTCAACTGCTTTTGCAACTCAAGTAGCAGCAACTGGAGCATTAGCTGCAAGGAGAGGTGGGCCCAGCAACCCCGCAGGAACCTTCACTGGCACAGCTGTGCACAGTGCAGGCAGCTGCTTGTGGTGGTATCTGCAGATGTTCAGGGTTTAATGAATGGCTGGGATGGACACATCTGGTGAATATACCTGTGGTAGAAACCTATACATACTTTTACTCATCAACTTGTGTTCTTCATAAAGTGGCATGGAATGGTAGCTTGACCTGGTAAAAGTTACTCCTTAAACTTACACCATAATTTTGCTCTTGCTACAGACATAGACCATCTGTGTACTTCTTTGCTAGGTATATAATCAAAAAAATAAAAGAATGGAGGGCAACTCCATATCAAAGTTTCTCTCAGCTACAGGATGGCGCTTCTTTGTTTCTCAGTAAGTGTTGCTTGCTTGACTTTCTTTTGAAAAAATGGAGTAATTTTCATTTTAAAATAAATAATTTGTATTTTAGATAACATTTAAAAACATTTAATATTATTAATTAATTAATTTATTATTATATTGGAATCAATTATTAATTGGGAATCAATCTACCTTGAGACCCAGCTATACCACTCTTGGGCATATACCCAAGGAATACTCAATCATAACACAAGGACACTTGCTTAACTATGTTCATAGCAGCATTATTTATAATAACCAGAACCTGGAAACAACCTAGATACCCCTAAACTGAAGAATGGATAAAGAAAATGTGGTACATATACACAATGGAGTACTACTTAGCAGTAAAAAAACAATGACAGCATGAAATTTGCAGGCAAATGCATGGAACTAGAAAATATCATTCTGAGTGAGGTAACCCAGACTCAGAAAGACAAACATGGTATGCACTCACTCATAAGTGGATATTAGATGTAAAGCAAAGGATAATCAGACTACAACCCACCGCTCAGAGAAGGTAGGAAATAAGAAGGACCCTAAGAGGGATGCATGGATCGCCCTGGGAAGGGGAAACAGAAGATCCCGATGAGTAAACTGGGTTGAGGCGGGCAATAGAGGGTAGGGGATGGGGGATAAGAACATTCAGGAATGGGATGGTTGAGCTGGGGGAGGGATGGAGTGGGAGAGCAATGAAAGAGATACCATGATAGAGGGAGAAACCTGGTGCTAAGGAAGTTCCTAGGAATCTACAAGGATGAACCCAGCTTAGACTAATAGCAATAGTGGAGAGGGTACCTGAGCTGGCCTACCTGGGTAGTCAGATTGGTGAATACCCTAACTGTCATCATAGAGCCTTTCTCCAGTAACTGATGCAGATATCCACAGCCAAGCACCAGGCCGAGCTCCAGGAGTCCAGTCAAAGAGAGGGAAGAGGGATTCTACGAGCAAGGAGCATCAAGATCATGATGGGGAAATCTACAGAGACAACCAAACCAAACTAGTGGGAACTCATGAACTTTAGACCAACACCTGTGGAGCCTCATGGGACTGGACTAGGCCCTCTGCATAAGCGAGACAGTTGTGTAGCTTGACCTGCTTAAGGGACCCCTGGCAGTGGGATCAGTAGTTCTCTTCCACTGTGTGAAATTCAGGCATTTGAACTTAGGTCATCAGGCTTGGCAGCAAGTACCTTGACCGATGAGCCATCTCAGTGGCCCCCGATTTTGTTTGATTGTTCGTCAAGTAATCAAATAAAAATGGTTGATAATATTTCACCAATCTAAAAATAATTATGATAAAGTAGCCCCTCTTAAAGGTACTTGGTTTTACAAATCACTCCCAAGAAACACTCTCATGAGCTTTGAAGAGCTCTGCAGGCCGATGGGACCAGTAAAATGACTGGCCCTGTCTGGCTGCCACCACTTCCTGCTTGTTAGTGCCCAGTGACTGTTTATTGAAGTGTCCCCACAGTGATCAGAGACCTAAGAGCATTACTGTGAAACTGCCATGTAGGGCAGGTGAGTGTGGTGACATTTTATTTGTGCTGAAATGTGGTGATATTTTATTTGTGCTTTGATAAATAAAGCTTGCCTGGAGATTGGGGCAAAAGGCCAGCCATTTTAAGTAAACATAGAATTCAGGCAGTGGTAGCACACGCCCTTAATCTGATCACTTCTCAGGCGGGGTCTCTATGTTCAAGGCCATACTAGGGAACAGAACCAAGTGTGGTGACACACGTCTTTAATCCCAGTACCAACCATAGAGACCTGGAGGTCTGTACAGACAGGCAGTGACAAGGAAGTGAGGTAGCTGGGCTAAGAGCCAATGAGAAGGGCAGAAAAGCAAGGCAATAAAGGTGTGGGTAGACAGGAAGTAGTTCGCATTTGGAAGCTGCAGAGTTGGTGAGGTAAGGTTGGCTGGTGGCTTTCCCTATTTCCTTAATCTCTCTAAGGCTTTCACCCCTATATTTGGCTCTGTGTTTTTTATTTAATAAGACCATGTAGAAGTTCGTCTACAGGTGAGACTCATTTACTTGAAATTTTTTCATCCCTTTATTCTTTCTCAGTGTTCTTTTCTTATTTGACTCAAGGTACAGCATGAATAAAAGAACTTTCCCCCATGATGACAGAATAATAGAGTAAAGCTTACAAGAAGCAAGTTCTCTTAGGGCTAAAATCAGGTTGGTTCAAAGGACAACATGCCAAACATCTGCTTGTTTTTTTTTAAATATTTTTATTATTATTGATTTATGTATTTATGTGTGTATGTCTGTATATGTTCCTGTGCCTGTGGTTGGAGGCATTCCCTGGAGCTGGAGTTAAAAGCAGTTGTGAGCTGCCTGACGTGGGTGCTCAGGATTGAACTTGGGTCCTCTGTGAGGATAAGACACATAGTCATATTTCCAGCCCTCTGGCAAACATTTGCAACTAGAGTTAATAAAGAGACCCAAAGCATCTGCTTACCTCAGGTGTTCTCGGGTTGGGCAACTGAGAAGCTTTGTCGTATGTAGAGGTGAGTAAGCTGCTAATGGGAGGCACTAATGGGTTTTATGCCCCTCTACTTAACAGGTGTGAAAATACACAGTAACATGGGTAGTGTCGTTGAGTATTTTGGCTTTCTACAGCTTGTAAATCTAAACAATGTCCAAGCCTTTCTTTCTTTTGTCCCTAAGAGAATATATTCCTCTTTGAGCTAAACCAAAATTGTCTTTTTTGTTGTTGCTCATGACATGAGTTTCTACATAGAATTTCTGGAGTGAATTCATTACTGAAGGACAAAATGCCATATAAGGAGAATATTTCTTTCTCACTCACTTGCTTTAAAACATTCTTGGGGTTGGAGAAATGGCTCAGTGTTTAAGAGTATTGGCTGCTCTTCTAGAGGAGCCAGGTTTGATTCCCAGGACTCATGGTGATTGCCAACCATCTGTAACCCTAGTTCCAGGGAATCCAACACTTTTTCTGGCCTCTGTGGGCAATGTATACACACGTGGTGCACAGACATACATGCAGGCAAATTACCCATACACATAAAAATAATAAATAAAATGTTCAGGAAAATACTTTAAATAATTCTCTTTAATTTTTATCATTGATTTTTTATGTCTTACCTTACATACTTTAAAATAGTTTTCATATGACATTCATTTCTCTTTATTAATTATAAATTCTTCTATATATTAAAAACTTTAGGTTGAATTGTTTGAAGAATAGTATTTATTCTAAATAATGAATGTGAAGTTTTGGGGCTTATCTCAGAAGCCTTAATCGTATAATCTAAATTATCTAATTTCAGCCAATATCTCTCTGAAATGTCAGATTTTACAGACACTATCATACATTACTATAATAAGAAGTTCCTTATTAAAGTTGAGCATGAGCAATTCATTATGTGCTCTACTGCACTTAAAATATGTGAACTATAATTTAAAGAAATCCACCATCATTTCTGTGTTTATTGACTGACTGATTAATTAAGACAAGGTCTCAATGGGTAGCCCAGGCTAGCCTCCAATCTCAAGATAATCTTTCTGTCTCAGTCCCACATGCTGGGATTACAGACACATGTCTCCATGCCCCTCTTGGAAAATATCATCTAACATCCGAAACACAGTGTACACTAATGTCTAATGTTTCTTCATGAGCCATCCGATCTTAATTTATTCTGTGTTTAGACAAGTATACAGTCGTTCCCTGTGCTTCCTTTTCTGGTTCCACAGTGTAAGGCTCACTGATGTGAGTATGTAAGACTCAGTAGGTGGCGTGTAGGCACTGAATACTTCTTTGTTGTTGTTTGTGGTTTGAAATAGTGACCGGTGTATCTGGTTCTGAAAGTGTTATGTAGCTGAGGATGACCTTGAACTTCTGATCCTTCTGATTTTGCCTCCCGAGTGCTAGGATTACAGATATGATCCACACTTGGGTTATTTAAAGTGGAGGATCAACTCTGGGGCTTTGTGTATGGAAGGCAAGAACTCCACCAACTGAGAAGTGTGTCTTAAATACATTCCATTTATTTCTCCTTTGGTGGCCCCATCTTTAACCTCTGGCCTCTGGCCCTGGTCTTGTCAATTCTGATGCTTTTCAAGAGTCTAGAAAGTAAATTCACCTGTATTTCTATTTACTCTGTTGCTGGTTTTGGTTTTAATTTTCTCAGCCAGTTATCATTCATTTAACTTCCACCTTCCAAAACTTTGTTTTCCAGGACAAATTCTTAAAAATAACCTTTGAGCAAAAATGAAATGCATTTTACACAATTCACATCTCTAGACCTCAATCAGAACTTACCAGTTTTAATAGCTCTAGTAACAAACATGTTTTATTGCAGAGGTTATAATCGCAAATGCCTATGGGAGCCAGGCAGGAATTCTCTGGAGAAGTCAGGGTCAGAGACAGTTAAATGTCTCATACTTGACACTCTAGGAGGAAGACACGTGCTCCAGGTTAGCAAGCAGCAGCTCCAGCAGGTAGGCACGGCTGAGTGACACCATGAAAGGCAGACTCCCTGAGACAGTCATCACCCCATCTCACTGCTCCCCCACTGTGTGACCTTTAAAAGGACAAACTCAGACCTGCTCTAGTGTCACCAGGGAAGGAAGTAGGTGAGAGGCACAAGTCAAGGGCTTTGCTGTGGGGCTAGCTTAGGTGACTGGGAAGGTGAGTCTTAGCAGGACTTCCATGGCAGACTGCCCGGGCCAGGGGCCAGACAGAGTTCAGGTCCCAATTCAAGACTCCTTGGAAGACTGAGCTAAGAGTTTTAGAGATGACAAAGGAGCCAAGGTTAAGGCCTCGGCTGAACTATGTCAAGAGCAAGTTCACAGCAAAGGCGTGGAGATCGGCAGTGGGGACCAGCAAGTCCTAGCAGGGAGGCAGTACCCACCTTCTCCAGGAGGTCTCCCCATAGAGATGTCATCCTGGGATACAGAAGAGGGTGCTGCCAAGTCAGAGAGAGAAACAAACAGTCCTGGTGGACCTTAGCTTTCCATTTCACTGAATGTTCACGTGAAAGAGACATCTCACCAAAAGAGCCCATGCTGGGGGCTGGAGACATGGCTCATTCGTTAAGAGCACATGCCATTCTTGCAGAGGACCAGGGTTTAGTTCCTACCTAGCAGCTCCATAGTGGCTCACAACCTTCCACGACTCCGGTTCCAGGGGACCCATCACTTTCGTCAGACCTCCGTAGGCATCAGGCATGCACGTGGTACACATACATACTCGCAGGCAAAATACTCATGTAATACAATAAAACAAATAAAGATAAAAAGAGCACAAGCCAAAGCAAAAAAAAAAAAAAAGTATAATGGGAAACATACTGAATTGCCTTAAATTAGAAAATTTCAAGGCTCCTTCCATCAGCAGAAACTTAGGGCCCATAAGAAACAGCGGGGTGGGGGGGGGCAGGAAGTACTTCAGTCAGTGAAGAGCTTGCCTACCAAGCGGGAAGGCCAACGTTTGACCCTCAGCACTCTTATAAAAAGGCAGAGGGGCTGACAGCTGCCTGTGATGTCACCTGGGGATGCAGATGCCTGGGTTGCTGACTACTCATCCTACCCGAATCAGCAAGCCCGGAGTCCCCGGGAGAGATCTTGTCTCAAAACCCAACGTTGATGGCTCCTGAAGAATGATGTGAAGGGTGACCTCTGGCCTCCACAAACATGGTCATGCTCCAGGCCCCCTACCCTATGAGCGTATTCCAACCCCTACCATACACATAAAAGACTGAACTATTAAAACTGACGAGGGCACAGATTTCTTAAAATATTTGTTAGTTTACATGCTAAGAGAGGAGTGGGTCCTCTTGCTGAAATGATGAACCCACTGATTACCACTTCACCATGAATTAAAAAACATGCTTCACGTATTTATCGGGTTGTGTCATCCAGTGATACAGCTGTTTGCATGTAAAACAGAGAAATCCTGGAAATGTCTTCCTGACAGGCACGTTAGGAAAAACAGACACAGACACCTGCGAGTTTTGTTAGAGTATAAGATTGCTATTTGGCACCACTTACTACAATTATCAAAAGCAATTTTGGAGGAAAAACCACTTGACTCCCCCAAATATCCATGTGTTTACACATCCGATGGTTGTCTAACAGATGGAACTTGTGGAGTGTAACATTGAAACATTATTGCTTTAAATGTCACCATTGCTGTCCCCAAAGTTGAAGAGTTACAAACCATAGGTAACACTTGTTTTTGGGAGCCTTTGGCTCCCCATTTCTTTCCCTCACTAGACAATAAGATACATGCCTAAAAGCCTTGGCTTCAGATTGGGAGGGGACTGTGTTCCTTCTGCTAAAGCCATCCATATCATCGGCCAGTGTACATGTGCGTGGGTGCGTGCATGCGTGCATGCGGGTTCTCATTTGCAAAGGACTTAAGCTTTGGGGTACAGAGTGACGGTGTCGTAGCCTTCTGGGGGTCTCGTGCGGGCTCTCGCGTGGGTCTCACAGTACAGCTCCCCCTCCACGAAGAAGTAGCCTTTCTGCTTGAGGTTGAGGTTACAGTCAGCGCACACAAAGCACTCGGGGTGCCGGTATTTATCCCGGGCCTTGACAACAGCGCCTCTGTGGGGAGAAGACACAGGTACAGATACAGGTGAGACCAGTCCAGAAAGGGAGAGGATGCTGCCGTAAGCTCGGCAGTTTCCCATCAGGCGTTTGGGCAATGGCACAGCTCGGCCTCACCATCCCCTTTCTCTCTGATAACTGAGGTGTGGATAGTCTCCAGAGTCTCAGACGCGCAACTTAGGGAGGTTCCAGTCTGAGTAGGTTCCAGTCTCATGCTCCACCCCCAGTTTCTTCACAAGTGGGAGCCATAATATATGTGGGTACTTGGAGCCAGGTCATGGGAGGCACAGTTGGAAGTCCCCCAGCTGACTTTCTATCCTGGGTCCAGCATCTACTCTACTGAGCAGAGATGGCACACCCACTGGGTGGGCTCACCTTAACCCAGGACTTGGTTTCTTTTCGTTTCGGAGCAATAATTACTTTTGGTGATGCCATACCACCCTCTTTTCTTTCTGCCCCCGGCCCCACCTCCTTTCCCTCGGTTCTAACCAAGACCCTCTCCTCTCACTGCTCTCTTAGATAACTAGACACATTTTGTCTCTACTTGTGCTGGGGGAACCAGATAAAGGGACAGAAGAAGTGGCCACATGAAACACATTTAAGATGGTGTGACTCACTTGAAGAATCTGAATCAGCAAAGGTGACTTTTCAACACATGGACTTTCTTGACGATGGAAGCTGACTGTATTTTAGAAATTTATATCTTGATATTTGTATAATTGAAATAATTGGTCACGCAATGCATTTTAACTCACAACCCAATGGTCCCTGCATTTGTTTCTCTTCTACACAGAAAAGTACGTATTCAAAGACTACATATTAATGAAATTAACTTACAAAGTGGAAGTCACAATTCTTGGAAATTGTTTTCGTGTACATGTTTGGGCAGAATCTTTTTTTTTTTTTCCAAAAAGTATTTCTGAAGGCACAGACTGCTGACTCACATATCTACTCCACTTTAAGGTTATGACTAAGGCACCCTGACCAAATATGCTACAGCGTTGTAGATGTTCTATTTTAAGTTAATGAAGAGAAATTTAACTTTTTCAAAATTGCCCCTTTTCTACATAGAGGCTTAAAAAGTATAAGACGTGGAAAACTGCCAACAAGACTCAAAGCGAATTCCCGAGTTGAAAGTGAGACGTACACAATGCCACCCCCACACTTGTCGCAGAGTGGCATCCTTGGGGCACCGCCAGCTCCGCCGTGGACTTTCGTAACCGGAGCCTTCACGCTCCTAGTTCCAGCAGGGCGATGATCTGAAAAACAAAGTGTTTCCATTTATGGTGGGGAGCAGCTGGCTCCGGTTTGCGCTTGGAGTCTATTTTAAAATGTGCACTTTAGCCCAAGGAATTCTACAGCGGCATCTGCACCGTGGTTTCAAAAGGGAGCAGGGCCTGTGGGTGCAGGAGAGACTGGGTTCTGAAACAGGCCCCTTTAAAGTGAAATGACTTACAAAATCTGCTGTTGGGAACTGTTGCAAGATGCTCGAAGGAGCAGAGGGCACTTTGGGGAAAAAAAAAAAAAAAAAAAAAAAAACATGCCATAAAATGTACCATCCCAGTGACTGTTAAGAACGTAGCTCACCTGCTATGCATCACTGTATATTTGTCACATTTTCATCATCTGCAGACAGAAACTGGAGACTGTGTAACCCCTAAATGGGGAGTGTTCTTCCCCTCCCTTTCAACCCTAGAAACCTCTTCTCCACTTTCTGCCTATAAATTGGTCTGTTCTAGATGTCTCATATAAATAGAACCAGCAAGATCTTTCCTTTTATGTCCGGTTTCTTTCACCTATCATAACGCTTTCAAGGTTCTTCCATAGTCTCGCATCGGTCAGAATTTCATGCCTTTTAAAGGTGGGATAACATCGTGTCCCAGGTATGTTATCATGTTTTGTTTATCCATTCCGGTCTCAATGGGTATTTGAATGTTTCCATCCATTTGGTCCTTGTGAATAACTGGAATACCATTGTACAAGTGTGTGTTTTCATTTCTGCTTTGAGATGTCTGTCTAGGCACAAAATTCCTGGATCATTTCTTGTTATTTATTTATTTATTTACTTATATTTTTTTTCAAGACAGGGTTTCTCCGTGTTGTTTTGGTGCCTGTCCTGGATCTTGCTCTGTAGACCAAGCTGGCCTCGAACTCACAGAGATCTGCCTGGCTCTGCCTCCCAAGTGCTGGGATTAAAGGCATGCACCACCTGGTGATGGGTCATTTCTTAATGAACTTTCTAAGGAGCAACTGTCCTGCATACCACCGTGGTTGCATCATTCACATCCACACTATCGATGCCCACAGTTCGCTATTATTTCTAGAACCCCACCAACACTTAATTTCCATTTCCGTCGTACCCATCCTAATGAGGCATTTTTTGCCTTTTGTGTGACTCTTAAAAGGCAGTATATATCTTTTGGGGGACAAAAAGCATGGGCTAAAGTACAAACCAGAGGTCAACAGAAGTCGGTGAGAGGTCAGCTCTCCTGTGTACTGGTTGTGTGACCGTATTCTAGTTCACTTTTCTTATGCCTGTTTCTCACTTCTCAACTGGGGCAAATGACAGTTTCTACCTTCCCGAGTTATTGCGGAAACTTAGTAGTACTATATACAAGGTGCTTTGCCCAGACTGAGGAACACAGTAGGTTTCATTTCATGCTTTTTTGTCCCCCCCCCCCCCCCCCCCCCGTTTTTTCAAGACAGGGTTTCTTGGTGTAGCCCTAGTTGTCCTGGAAAATTTTCCTAACATCAATTCTTATATTGTTTGTTTGTTTTGAAACAGGGTTTCTCTGTGTAGCCCTCCTGTCCTGGAACTCACTCTGTAGACCAGATGGGCCTCGAACTCAGAGATTCACTTGCCTCTGCTTCCTGAGTGCTGGGATTAAAGGCGTGCACCACCCACAGCCCAGCCATTTCATGCTTTTTTTTTTTTTTTTTTTTTTTTGTCTCAAGGTTGATAATATTCTAAGGAGTTGTCGGGGAAGAGGCTGAGAAATCTTGTAATATCCATTGAAAACTAAATCTTCTGATTAATAAGCTATGCTGGCCCTTGACTACTATGGGTAGAATTTGTTTTTGGTGTTTTTTGTTTGAATGAGTGGTTTCATTTCATGAATACCTGGACATGTCCAGAAAGTTCTTTCCCTAACTCCTTCTGAGCAAAGACTCACTTGAATACTGACTAAAACCAGTATCCAGACATTCATTCCCTGTTGCTCAATTCTTCTTCTCCTCCACCCATCCGAGGGCCTTTACAAATATGTCAGTAGATATTAGTAGAGGCTCACCAGACCCGTCGTTCACTAGTTCCTGGAGCACCCTGAAGGAGCCGGACTGGCGAGGAGGAGTTGGTTCATCCCGATTGTCATGGAGCATGCGGTACACATCTGAATGAGGGGGTACTGAGGCCGTGGGTTCACTGAAACACAAATACAGCTGGTGACGCATCGTCGGGAGCCCCGTGAGGCAACAGGATGACAAGTATCATCCTTTGTGCCGAGCAGGGATCACTCTCAAGTGAATCTCTATGCAAGAAATACCATGTGAAATCACAGAGGCGATTTCTGTCAGGACACGGTCGTTTAAAAAACAAGACCTGTGTCTGATGGCCATATAATTATAGATGTGACCAAAATAGCACCCCCCCCTTTTCAGAAAAAAAAAGACAACAGACACAATACAGGAGTGAGCTCATTTTGGTTATTCGCACTCATAGAAGTTTAAATATTCCCCTTTTTGATATAAAACTAAATTTCATATGACTTATCAGTTGATGAAATTCACCCGACAGAGTTTCAAACAACACAATGCAGAAACTTCTATCAATGTTTGCTAAACTGACTGTTCTATTTTTAATAGTCACATTAATAATAATGAGAGCAATTTTATATACTATGCTTTCAGTAAATATATTAATAAAGAACAATTAAAAATGTTATCATAATATTAATTGTTAGGCACTAAATATTTGGTTATTGAACTGTATCATCTAGAAATTTATCTGCATATCTTTTAATCACCTGTTATATTTTAAAATAATCATACGTATATTTATTTCTTTACAAAATGGCTTTGGGATGAACTCACTGAATAAACCCTGAGTCAACTCTGAGATATTGCTACATAGCATTCTCAAGTATCACAGTAATTTATAGATAGTGATTTTATGATACTAAAAGAAGCAGTGCGATTTTATTCCATAATAAATCTTTTTAATTGGAAAAGCTTGGTGGCAAAGGTACTTGGAACAGACATTAATAACAAAGAAGAAACTAGTCAAAATAAAGACTGACGGGAATTGAATATCTTCACTAACAGCTTGAAGCATTTGCTTATAAGAACTTAATGAAATGCAAACATTTTAAATGGCAAAACAATCCTTTCCACATTAATTAGAGAAAGAGAAAGGATCATCTCATAACAGTGTTTGGACTCTCCCAATCCCCACCTCCCATCTTTTCACTTACAAAAGACAGATGTAAGTTCACAAGCCACTTCTGAGAATACTAAATCAGGCATTTACAAAGCACATTGCAGCTTTCAAAAGACATCCATTTGGTCTTTATGTAATTTCATTTTATTTTGATCAGTCCTATTATCTACATAGTTAGGTTTCATCACCAGGCTTAAATGTTTGCAATAATTTTTTTTTCCTTTGAAGCTTTCACATAGCTTTCTTTCCACCAAGACAATGCTAGAAGACCCCATCAAAGTAGACATCGCCCATGTGTTTAGTCAACATGCCCACAGTTCAAAAAGACTCATATTACCTCATCGAGGGTGTCTCCCCTAGAGCTGTGGAAACCTGACCCTGAAGTGTTTCCATGATATTGTCATCTGAGTACAACTGCATAGGTGTGTTAAATTGGGCGTGCACAATCTTCACGCCGGGAAGTTCCATTTCCAAAGGAATGTTAGGGGCCATCTTAGCCGCAACCTTTAAGTCCCCTGGGCAGATGGTACTAACGGTACTGACAGAAGAAGGGGTGCTACGTCCACTGCCACCGTCAATACCGGAAGGAGTGCTGCAGCCGCTGTGTTAATGACAGGGTTACACGGAGAGGACACAGGAACCAGAAGAACACAGAAGAACACAGAAGACAAGTACAGACAGGTGAGAAGGAATTGGGGACAGAAGAGGTGATCACATCAGTCTAAAGTGTTTCTAAAAGGGACGATGAAAAAAATTCACACTCGAAAAACTTGGACAAGTCAAAAGTTGCTGGTGATATTGCATTTGTTGGCTTGATTCTGTCAGGTTGAAGGTTAACATGTAGAAAGGGTCCATAAAGCAGGTAGATAACAAATGTCTATCCTCATTTTAAAAAAAATTTGGCCAAATAATTTGGTTTCTGACAGTATCACAGGTAAATGGTGGAGGAACATTAGCTAGATATCCTTTCATGTCTCTCAATTGTATAGTTAGAGTATAAAGAGTGGTATTTCACACATAATAACACTATATAGCATGAAGATTTAGGCTGAACATTTCAAAACAAGCATGCTTCAATCAGAGAGTTAAGCCTGGACTGAACAGTAATTGACAACTTGTGGGTAAGGCTAAATAAAGATTGTATTTTTGAGCTATATTATCAGTACTATACCATTTCAATACATCATCTTAGTGTTCACTGATTTTGTTAAGAATATTCTTTTTTTTTTTTTAAAAGCCATTCTGTAACTTTGTACAGGAACTAGAAACAGTCAATAAATGCCCATCACCTTGCAGTTGATGATTATGGAACAAGTAGGTCATCTTGGATTATTTGGATGCTACCCTAGGCTAAGGTTTGTTTCCTTCACACAGAGGTGTTTCATGCAAGATTTTGGACACACACACACACACACACACACACACACACACACACACATATTTCCATGCATATTTTTTATTTCCTTTTAAGGATAAGGTTTAGGGACTTTCAAAATATTACAGAGGTTGGTCATCCTAGTCAAGGACAAGGGCGATTTGGTACTCTTTATGAAACTGAACTGGCAACCAGCCACAATGGACATGCATCTGTTAATTAATTAGTATTAATTAACTTGGTACTGGGAATTGAACCTAGGGTCTCAGGCATGCTAAGTAATCAATCACCGAGCTATATTGAGCTATTAACATAAACCTCTGTTATGATTGCCTGTTAGTGTTGCCATGAACCCGAGACACATGTATGTGATGTGATTGTCTTAAAGTCAGCGATCTCAACTGTGACATATGGGGCCCCACCTTTACAGTTACTTTAAAAGGCTACTGTTGTTAACTACAGCCCCATGTAGACACTAAACCCAAAAAGGATGCTGGGCACTGATTTTCTTTCTTTAAATCAATGTTGTAACCTGGTTAGTTTGGACAATACTGTCAATAAATAAGTTAATTATTTTTTAGGGTCTTGTGTTGCACAATACAACTTCCTACACCATTCCTTTCACTCTTACCTGTTGAGAATTTGTTTAAAACACAGTCAGGTCATTAGTTAAGTCATATACCAAAATGCCATCTGGCCTTATTCACCACTTTTTTTTTTTTTTTGGCTCAGCAACAATTCCTAAAATTGACTTTAATTGCTAAAAAAAAAAAAGGAAGGAAATTTTCTCTTGTAGAGCAGTTTGGTCAGGATTAAACGAGTTGACGTAAGTGTAATGAGGTTCAGGAACTTGAAAAATGGGAGTTTGAGACAGTGAGTTAAATCTTGAGGGACCAACATAACAGACCCATTCAGGAAAGATTTAGAACTTCTCTGACTTCCTGTGCATCAGGCAGGATGCCGGATGCTGGGTCATCTATCGTCAACGTGAACTCACAGATATGCTTTATTTTGAGGTGTAATCAGCAATTTTTTTTCTGCTGTTAGGGATCGTATATTGATACATATGTGCATATGGTTTTAATTTGTCAAAGATTGTGTCTTCTATTTCTCCTTCCTTTATCATTGAATTGGGGTCCTGTGACTAATAAATTAGGGGCCCGTGCCTCCTAAATGGAGGAAATGATGTAACATCAACAAGAGTGACCTTTTATAACTATCCAAGACGATGTTAAAAGAGTTCCTGTGTTGATTTCAATAAACTTGTTCTCAGGGACTCTAGGCTCTGTGGGATATCCTCATGAGTCCAGGGACTTATCCTTAATGACCCGGAATGCAGATGCTAGTTTGATCTCTTGAGACTGTCTTAGTAATTTGGCAGCATCACCTGTAATGAGGACGGTGACCTCAAATCCTTTACAACCCAGGTGGCTTCTTTTACAGACAACCAACTTCCCTCGGAGGACTGTGTTCAGACTTCCAGCAGGGAGGGCAGATTTCTAGTTGTAACTTGTCTAAAGCTACCCAGAAACATTTCATGTTTTACATCCAGATCTACAAAAGTATCTTGCGCATATTGTGATTTATCATTTTGACTTAAAAATGTCACATATTTCAAAATAAAGGCGCTGGTGCTTTAAATGGCTTCGACTGTGATGAAGTCATCAAACTGAGCCAGAGCTAGGACTGAAACACTATGCACATTGACACATAAATCCACTGCACCTGTTTTACTTCAGATTAAACAAGGTTTTCATTCACAGTGCAGTAGTAGCAGCTTGGTATGGAGCCTCGCAAAATTGTACCTTGTGGAAAAATCACTGGATCACTGGGAGAGAGCAAAAAGTTCCAAGGGTAGAGTAAATAGTGAGGGGACAGAGGAAGAAAGGAAGAATGGAGAGGCATTTCCACTAGTCTTTAGAATCTGTGCACAGGTACCTGTTATTTATTTATGTACCTATTTTTAGAGAATTCCTTTCTTCTAAATTCTGTGGTATTAAGAGGTATCTGCAAGTGGCAAGCTTGTAAATGGTTTGTCCTTGTCGCCACGTTAAAGTTAAGATGAAAACATAGAAGAACGCCCCTCTGACTTTCTTTGAATTTTGTACAATCAAATGTGTCCTAGGTCTTTACTCAATATATTTAGCTATATATTATCCAACAGTAAAATAGCATTTTTAACTCTTTTTTCCCCCAAGACAGGGTTTCTTTGTGTAGTCCTGGCTGTCCTAGAACTCGCTCTGTAGACCAGGTTGGCCTTGAATTCACAGAAATCCACCTGCCTCTGCCTCCCGAGTGCTGGGATTAAAAGCGTGTGCCACCACTGCCCTGTGCATTTTTAACTTTTAATATGGTATGTTGTGTGACTGAAGGTGGAGTGGCGTAGGGGTAGTATTGGGAAAAAGGGGGAAAAAAAGGAGAAAAAGGAATGGGAACAAGGTAACAAAGAGGATGGTGTAGAGCTGAAAGGTTGAGAGGGGAGAGCGGCTAATACTGAGCACTCTTAGGATTTTATTCCTTTATCCAATGAACATGTGATGAGCATACATTGTTTGTTATGTTCCAGGCTCATTTCTAGGTTCTGTGGAGAAAACATGGAGCCAGTCTGACAAAGACACTTCATGTGGCATCACAGTTTTCTTAGCATCTTTCTCCCACATTTCTTTCTGTGTCTGACATTATGAAAATTGTGTGGTTTATTTGGAGACAATCTTCTGGCCCTTCTTGTAGCTTATTGAAGGGTCTACACTTCAAAGTCATATATTATGTAACTATTTACTAGTCACAGGAGTTAAGTCTCTACAGGGTCAGTCACATAATTATAAAATGGACCAGTTAACAGGTACTTAACAGTGATGAATATTTCAATAAGCTGGCATGTAAAATTACTTAATTAACTCCCACATATAGCAAACAGTGGGAGGGCTAAATAAATTATGCCTATGATATGAGTTCACCTATGGGCTACCAGTTTGGGGCACCTGATGTAAACCGTTATGCAGCATTTCTAACCAGTTAGGATCCACCTGGTCTGATCAACAGCTTCCTTGGGTTAACTAACTGAAGGTCAGAGTGATGAGTTTGAGGTTTCCTGAAGTTACAAATTTGGTATTCCTTTCAACTGAAGTTCAGGTTCAATTTTCAGAGAAGATTCTGGAAAAGATTGTGTAGCTATAGTCACTTCTCTGACTGACAGGTAAGGACTTCAGATTTTGTTCATCATTGTTAATATGGTTTATACAACGTATTCCGTAAGAGTCAGCAATACTAACAGTAACTGCTTTCCTTCTCTCAAATTATATTGATTTTCACCAGATAGAAACTTTCTGTCTCAAGGAGCCTTTCTTCCTTTGCAAGGATCCATATGCATGAACAGCTGTTCTTATATAAGGGCCAAAATGGTGGGTTTGAAGGAGCAAAGAGAAGCAGGCACTGAGGTGGATGGCCAGAGTCTGCCCATCACTTGAAGCAATCCTGGCTTCCCCTTGCTACTACCTGGGGCTGGGTTTGTTTGTTTGTTTGTTTGTTTCTGCAGGCTAGGCTTTCCTGACGTGGGACAGGCTACATCTGCCTGTCTCAAAGGTCACTGTGTTCTGGATGGGATCCACAGAGCTTCTGGGGCACTAGTTATAAATACACATGGTGATCACATAAAATCTCACAGCCCTGCCAGCTGGTCAGTATTTACCCTCAGTAACGGATGCTTTCTGGCTAGTGTTTGCTGTTAAGTGAGTGGCTTCTTTTCTCTTCTGAATTAAGCTTTGCAATGAAAAATCACTCCAGGCACCTAGAAGTTACTTTTCCGGGTGATTAGTAAGGATTGGTTAAAGCAACATGCTCTTCAAACTTCACAATCTCAGAATTGATGACCTGGTTCGGCCTGGAATTATGAAAGGTTTGGGCCGAATATTGTGCTTGTGTTCAAAGTAGTTCACATCCTGTAAAAAACAAACGGTTAAAGAAAAATCCCTCAGTGGTGGCTTGCTCTTTTGAGGGTAAAAGCAAATGCATGAGAATTCTGTGGAGAGGATGATTTACCACTGAATATCCACATGACTAAGAAGGGTGATGATGGAACCAGAGATTCCCTTTTTTCTTTTCTTTTTTTTTTTTTTAAAGCCTCGTAGCTACTAAATATTCAGGAACTGGCTGACCGGCTCCAGAACAATTAGAGCCAAGTTCTAGATGCTTCTCTTTAAAAACAAAAGTGTAATAGTACCTTCTAGAAAGTAAAGGAGAAAATGGCAAGAGCTGGACGTCAGGAAAGAAACCACATCATGAAGAACACTGGCCAGAACTGAGCTTCAGTACTTACTTTTGAGGTGAACTGGGGATGAGACCCCGCAGCTGTCCATGCAGTGCGTCTTGGATATTGCTAGTTGAATAGAGCCCAATTGGTGAGTTATAGGAAGCGCTCACTACCTGTCTTTTGTCATCAATATTTGCAGCTGCAACGAAAGGCTGGGCCCTTCTGTTGTGCGCGGTACCAATGGGTTTGAATTCCTGTACATGGCAGACAAAACACACAGAGCCACAGAACGCACAACAAAGCAGTTAATGAACAAACCCGTCAGCAACGCTGTTGTTAATTAAGGCATCGTTATCTGCTATAGGATTAGCGAAGTGGTTAGGAGAGGAATTAGGGTCCATCTTTCTATCATGTCTCTGTAATTTACACATGCTACATTCATTGACCAAACGCTAGACGCAATGGACCAGACCTCATCTGATATCTCAAAATTCAAGCACTGTCTGGCCTTCTCCTTTTCTGGCTTCCTCTACTTCTTTTATAAAACTCAAAAACAATGTATTAGAAATGAGAAGATTTTTTAGTTTAGAAAAAAAAATTACCAGATTTAATATTCTCTCCAGCTGAGGTTACATGTGCTTTCTTCTCTATAAATACACTCTTGCTTTTGCGGTACTGGTGACAGAACCCAGGGTCCAGCACACCTCAGGAAAGCCTGCTACCACCAGGTTTAATGGATTTCCCTCCAAGTGAGAGAATAAAAAATCAGCAGGCTAGCCGGGCGGTGGTGGCGCACGCCTTTAATCCCAGCACTCGGGAGGCAGAGCCAGGCGGATCTCTGTGAGTTCGAGGCCAGCCTGGGCTACCAAGTGAGTCCCAGGAAAGGCGCAAAGCTACACAGAGAAACCCTGTCTCGAAAAACCGAAAAAAAAAAATCAGCAGGCAAATGAGCAGTTGTGAATAACTACAGTGAATTGTTTAAACTTATCTAGGCACAGATTATTATTTTGCTTTTAAAAATATTTACAATGACAAGACCCAATTAATCATCATTTACAATCAACAAGGCCCAATCATTAATTTGAGTGCGGCTGTACTTTTAAAAAGCAAGGAGAATGAGAAGAACTTATGAAAGCAGGAACATACAAATAGAATTCCTTTCTTTTATTATGATAATGACACATGTATGTTTAAAGAATGGTTGTCCCTGTCTTGGGGGACAAATGAAAGGAATCTAGAGATGTGATATCAACATATCTACATATCTCTCTCTCTGTGTGTGTGTGTGTATAATTAAAAACAGATTTTTCACTCCGTTGCTCAAAAAACAGGACCACACAGCAGTGTCTCACTCAAGCCGTGAGTTTGAAACATACCCGAATGACCCAACCTATGTGTAGGAATAATATTTTCTAGTTTTGAATACATGGATAGTTTCCTTTTTTAAAAAATTTATTTGTTTATAATGTAAACAGTGTTCTGCCTATGCCTGCATACCATAAGAGGGCACCAAATCTCATCAAAGATGGTTGTGAACCACCATGTGGTTGCTGGGAATTGAACTCAGGACCTCTGGAAGAACTCTTAATCTCAGAGCCATCTCTCCAGCCCATGGATAGTTTTTGAAACTGTTCACTTTTGTCTTAGAAGCACCAAACGAAACTGTAGGGATGCTAAAATACTCATAAGACTGTGCTCTGTACAAATGAGTCTACTCAGCAGAAGTAGCTACACCCATCTTTATAGTCTTCATTTCTTCTGTGAATGTGCAGTCAGTGTTGCACACAGATTTGAAATAATGCATAATCATTTTAAATGTTTTCCCATATAGGCCTATTGACCATGTTAAAACTGACCGTGTTAAAAATTAGTTATGACCGTGCAAATGGGCACAGCTTCAATTACTAGCTACCGAGTCATTTTTCCATCTGTCCCCAATGTCATGAGACCTGAGAATCTCTGATGATATGAAGGACAGGTTCTTTGTCCCCTCAAGCTGGGACACATGTATTAACAGTTTCCTGAAGCTCAAAAGGTTTAAGTTGAATACAGCTTAGCCTATGATTGTACAGTGTTATTAGACTGATTAATACCTTGTTCATATACCTTTTTTCATCTACAAGAATAACTCGATGCTGAGGCACTGGCTGGATGACATTATTCTTGCTGCCACTTGGTAGAAAGAGTATTGAAACCACCAAACATAGTTTTAGAAATGTCCCAGCATTGAGTCACATAACACATAAAACTGTGTGCAAACATTTACATAGCTGTACAGTCCCAGGGTGTTGAGCTGATTTTTAATTTGGATTGGCTGTGTTTTGTGATTACCATTTTGATTAACCATTATCATGGCTTGAAAAAGTGTGCTGGAAATAATTGTAAGTAATGACAGTACTCATGGCTTGAGTCTTTGTAACTCTTTTTGATATGAAGAAGACAGAGGCTAATCGCCCAATTTAGCTTTGATGGATTATAAATCTTCCATGCTAATTATAGAGTAAGTCAGTCAGGATAACAAGCCATTCAAGCTTTATGGAACCTCATTGATTTTTTTTTTCAGAATGAAGTATGAAATGTCTTAAAAACCTTGGTGAATAGTGCGACATTTACAATAATTAATTTACATACTATGATGACTTGATTGGGGAAGAAAGTATCTGCCTTCAGTTTTCATTTTGTAAGCCTTCAAATAATGAATAAGCATGGATGGTGGTTGTCCTACAAAGGGACCAGCTCATCTGAAGGCATTTGTGCATTCAGAATCCCCAGTAGGACTTCCAAATGGCAGTACATCGCTAGCCAGCTCCAAGATTTTCCTTTGTGACTTTCAGTTTTGGTTTCTCTTTGTCTCTCTGTCTTTCTCTGTCTCTCTTTCTCACATTAGAAATGTATGATTGGTTAACAGACAAATCCTCTTACGTTCCACTCACATCATAAAAGGAGGTCTTTCTAACACAGGCTTAAAACATTCTTGTTTAGGCTTTGCAAAGCGTTAGTTTATGGGCTTCTAGAGTTGTTCCCCAAAGCACAATGGAGTGTATACACCAAAGTTAAACAAGAGATTTAACGATGGCACAGAAAGGCAGCGTTCTGTCCAAGTCTTACATCATTGTTGATGGTCAAACAGAATCAAAAGACAAAGCCAATTAGGCGCCTGCTCGTCCACTTTAATTCCTTTTTTTCATCTTTTCTTAGAAAAGCACATGCAACACAAAATTTTTATATAGCAGTTTCTATATTCCTGTGTTTGTGTTTATTCCACCCAGAGAAAGCCATCAAATAATTCTTACCTTAACAAAAAGTAGTCATTCAAATTAATTCTCAATTTAAAAATAAGGTTTTTAAATTTTAGGGGCTTTTGTTGAAGAATAGTATGCTGAAGAAGTGAAATGTTAAAACAGTTCTAGTGAAAGTTATGCATCTGATGGAATGCCACTGATACCAGAAAAATGGGCTTCTTGGCAGTAGCCCCCCAAGTCCTAGAAATGACTCAGACAAGGACAACACTCAAAGTCAGTTCACCCTCAACGTCTCACTTGATGACGTTGCTCATAGATGAAGGGTCAAGGCCATTACCGTCTTCATCGGAAGCAGGGGGTCTGACTCATACACATTTCTCTCATTTACCTACCATTTTTCTAAATCTTTCATATGAAAACTGCAGGGGAGCAAGAAACCCATGACGCGAAGCTAGCAAATATTTGATCAAGTCAAAGTGAGGCAAAGGATCTTCGTGCCTGGAACTGGTGAAGCTATCCACTCACGCCCACCCTTCAAGTGGAAAACAAAGCCACTCTTGGAACGGTCGTTTTCCTCTAGTGATGGGCTTCACGTGTTTACTCCCCATTGGAGGAACTCCAGGGGAAACGTGGGTGAGAGCTCGCTTTGTTTAGCTCCTTCCAGTTACCAAAACATTGGAGACTGAAGTTTGTTGTAGGAAAACAAGCTGGCTGCACATGTAAGTACCTCTTTAATAGGAAGACCCAGTACTTTACAAAGACATGGGCATAATGTTCTTCCTGCTTAGATAAGAGCCTTTGTTTGTTTGTTTCTAGAAAGTATCTATTTTTGCTACAATAGGTACATCATATCTTTGAGTTGTCAGGCTGATATTAAGCAGGAATGAAAGTAACAGTTTGCTTTGAGAAAGGAAGCTTTGAAGAAGGACTAACAACACGCCCATCTCGAGCGATACCTTGTTTAGAAAAAATGTCAAGAGTCTGCTCACAGACCGCCGGACTCAAGGATTCATTCAGTTGCTGGAAACAGATCTGAACAAGTTCTAAGGTCCTTTAGAAGCATAAGACTCAAACCTGAATCTATAAAAACAAAACTTCTCCATTTAGTGATAGCATGGAAAGATGGAAAAAAAAATCTAGCCATTAAAATTTTATATCAACTATTATAATTGTGTAAGAAAAAGTCCCCCAAGTCTAAACTTAGAGGGAAAAAACTATATATATATATATATCATAGTAGATAGTATGTTTAAAATCAGAATATTTTGTCCCATACCAAAGGTCACAATACTTACTATAACAATTTGACTTGGGTTGAGAAACAAGAACTCAATTTCTATTGTTTGTTGGCATTTTGCCGTTCACCTGTAGTAGCATCTTAGTCCGCTGATGCCATTTGTTTCCCCAACTGACCCATCTCTGCTTTCCAGAAAGTGCTCTGTTTACACAGTTCTCATTAAGGGGGAAAAGCAAATCTTTCCGTAAGGCAGTGTATTACTTAAACATTAGTATTTTTCTCCAAATGCAAAGGTCACAAATCTGTTCGAAGAAAAGCTCTCTGTGTTGTAACCAGGACTCTCAGATGGCGGAGCTCCACTGAAATTCAGCTGTTTTGAGCACCAAATGCCTGTGCCCCGTGAACTAGTCATGTTGCAATCTGGCTGAAAAGCGGCATAAGGGGAAACCCTTTGATGATTAGGAGAGCTGAACTTTTTCTTATCTCTGAGCCCGTCAAAGGCTGGCTTCTTGGAGATGGAGCCAGTAAGGAGTAGGCGTGACTCAAATGAATGGAATATTAAGAGGCGCCATCTGAGTGCCTGCTACAGTTGTTAACCTAATCCTCACCTTTTTCACTTAAAAAAAAGAAAGAAAGAAATTCATTTCCTTTTCCTTATTTGAAGAATTTAAAATAAACAAATAAATAAAAAAGTATAATCTAACCCTTAAGTTCAGGATATCCGAGCTAATAAAATGATTAACAAGAGGCCAGAATATTTAAAATTAGAATGATGCCTTAGAAGCTAATTCTTGGAAAATTGATAGTTATATTTTTATGCATACAGATTTGCAAGAGAGATCTCTTTTCTCACTCCAGCTCAGAAATTACCATCGACTCTAAATTCTTCTTTTTTTTTTCTTTTTTTTTGAGGGCACCAGAACTCATTACAGATGGTTGTGAGCCACCATGTGGTTGCTGGGAATTTAACTCAGGATCTTTGGAAGAACAAGCAGTGCTCTTAACCTCTGAGCCATCTCTCCAGCCCCTCCAACTCTAAATTCTTAAGAGATGGTAGCAAAGTGCAGACTCCCATCATGACTTTAGTACATCTTGCTTTAATAAATTCTTACTAGGGTAGGAATGGCCATTGTGATGAAGTATCAGCCGGGGTTTGACCCACTGATTAAACCTGTTTAGTTCCCCCAGCCCTTACATCTCATATTGGTGAGTTAGAGCTTTAAAAACAAGGATACATTTGGAACAGGGAAGTCATTTGCAAAAGGGTGCATGCAATACGGTGACTGATGTGTGCTGTGAGTGGACAAAGAAATGGGAATTTCACCCAATGCACTCTAGAGACTCCAAGTCTGGACAGTCAACAGATGTGTGCACAAGGGTCACACAGGTCTCCATTTTCACTTCTGTTGCCTCTAAATGACAAATTGATCCGTGTGGGAAGTAAGCAGGTGTGTGCATTCCTGCAAAGGGCTGTGTATACATGACAGTGATGTGTCTAGAATGCTGTGTTTCATCTAACCTCTCCTTGTATCAAATTAAGTGCTGATTGGAGGTACTGCCAGTCACCAATGTAAAGGACCCCCACATGCCAGGGGGAGCCACCAATGGCTTTTAGAAGCTTTCTTTACGTTAACAGGTTGGACGTCTCTAAACTAAAACCCAGAAATCCAAACTGTTCCAAAAAGAGAAAGATTTTAAGCAATGGTATGTTGTGAGTGGAAAATTCCATGCCTGGGTCTCAAGCAATGGGTCCTAACTAAACAGGAAAGCTCATTCCCCCGAGCCTATGTATCAAGGTGTGAAAAAAAAAGGCAAAAATAAATTTTGTGTTTGAGTCTCTTCGCTAAAGTATCTCACTGTGTATATGCAAACACTGGAAATTTACCTGAAGCTTCTGGCCCTAAGCACTTTTAAGGCGGGCTAGTCCATCTCTATTACCTCTCCTTTCTTTTTCAGCGTTTGCTCACTTACTTTGAAGAATGAAAGTTTTTTTTCTGACCTAAATATGCCACTCACCTTCCAAGATCACACAGAACTTAACCGCTGGAGGCAGTAGCCATTCTGAGAACTGGTCCCCAGGACCCATCCTGGTCACTGCTAGGAAACACAGTTTGTCCCCCATCCCTTTAACTCATTAGTCTGCGATGCACTGGGTGCTTGCTGCGGGCTACGCCTGGGGAAGTCTCATTGAGGGGAACAGACACATGGCTCCTGTCTTGAGAATGTTCTTTATCTTGCTTACTTTCCTCGAGGCCCCCTCTCTCTCCTTTGGCTCATAATTTTTAGGCACAGACTCTTGACTTCCCTTTTAGTCAAAAGCTAGGTCAAGGATCTTATCAACCCTTCCCTTTAAAGAATACATATTGTGTTTCCTTTTCTGTGTGTGGGCTGGGAGGGGGCCGTATTTTAACTAACATAAAGCTTTGAAGGAGCACGATTTATAAGGACCTTTGCAATAGTCAGGAGGAAGGGACTCTTCCTTGTCACACAGTGACAGCAAGGACGAAAGCCCTTCTGTAAGCAGGTGCATACTGTCAAGAAACCCGGGGAGGCTTCTGATCACAGCTTGGGGGGTTGATGGGAGAAAACCCTTAAGCATAAGAACTTCCACCTGTTTGATTAGCTTCAGGCCTTTGCCTATATCGTCTTATTGAAATCTTTGGGGAGTCTCTGAGACACTCGTACTTATGTTGTGCTAGGTCTATTTTATAAAGAGAAAATGGAGGCTCCCTGGGGCAGGGAGAAAACACAGAGCCGGTGAACCTGCCAAAAAGAGTGCTGAAGCGTGAATTACAAATGTGTTCTCAGACAGTCTTCGTTAGGTCTATAGAAAACCGCACGCTGGAAGTATCTACCATCTTAACGGGAACGCTTGTTTCAAAGATGATATTAAACACGTATCTTTGTATCTCTAAGCCTTGGCAGCTTCTAAGGAGACGTTGTAAAACCGTGTTCTTAATTAGAGTTTTCCAGTGTATTATAATTGAGGTTTGATTCAATTTTAGTTCTTTGGTTTTTTTTTTTGGGGGGGGCGGTGGTTTCTGAAAGTGGACACAGCCAGATAAACCTCAGATGATTAGATTCATGTGGCTCATGAGACAGGGTTGCCTCAAGGGAAAAAACTTATATCTTTTATAAGTTAGCCACACACATAGAGTATCTCTGTGATAACAAAATTCAATTCATTTTCGGTAAGGTATATTTAATTATAGAATGTCAGAACTGGGAATTAAAGAAGGGTGTCCAAATAAGACCCATGCAAAGACCTTACAGGACTGAAGATCACAATAACTATTAATTATTAGATTAGAGCTACCCATTTCAAATGGCCCAGCCTGGGTTTTATTTTGCTTTATTTAAACAATGTAAAGTTCTTAGATTATACCATGGCCATTTATTCAGCAGAAGTCTTATCACAAGAAATGAAAAGAAAGAAAAAAAAAAGAAAAAGAAAAGTGGACTCCATGCAGACTTAGTCAAACTGTTCTGAATGAGAAAGTGGGTTTTCTCCCATTTTGTGTGTGTTGTGGCTTCAATCTGTAATCCCTGGCTGGCCTGGAACTTCCTGTCTATTCTAGGCTGGCATCAACCTTGCCTCAATCCCACCTGTCTCCCGAATTCTGAGATTACAGACATATGCTAACATGCCCAGCAGAGAATATACTTGACTTTTAAGGAGATACCTGCCTAGCACTCTCTGTTTTTCCCTGGATGTGGGAAAACATGAATCATGTAAGTTAACCTAAGAGAGCAGAGCCCACTCGCGGCTTCCCAGGTGACTTGTTCTGATTCTTAGGTTTCTTACGTCCCCCCACCCTTGAACGGGAGCTGCGATGTGATAGCGTTCCCTCTGAACTTCCTACCTGTGGTTCAGCTTCTAAGTTTATTTTGAAAGGATGTGCTTTTCCGTCTTCAGACACCTGTGGAGACCATAAGCGGGTTTCCGCCCTGCAAATAAAACAAAGTTTGCAAACTCTGAATCCAAATGGCACTCCTTTTTAAATGTACATTATTTCCCATTCCGTTTGTGAAAAATACTAGCAACCTTCAGTGATTTAAGCCGGAAGAATTTAGTTTTTACTTATTCTGTATATTCCCATTTTGTTAGCCTTATATATTTTTAGTGTCCTTTTGAGGCCACGAGAACAGATTAAGTGCATGGTGTGGATTCTGGAAAAAGTATGTCTCCAAGTGTGTGTAAGAACAACAGAAGAGGGACACTTAGAGACACACCACAGACACCAAGAGGCAAGCTCGGTGGCTCTCTCTTCTCTTCTATCCTCCTAAGGCCACCACAGGAGCCAGGGAGAGACTGGCATCCAAGAGCTGTGGTTGGTTCAGCTCTTAGGTGTCTGTGGCTCAGAAGCATGGGCACAGATAGAAGAGAATCTATTTTACTCCATGAAGGTTATGGATGGATAATGGATTGAGTCATCTGTACCAGTGCATGATTGTGGGTACAACAGCAATGTGATCATTATATGAAAATCACTATAACCAATTATTACTTCATATTTTTAGCTTTATATCAAGGCTTTCATGACAAGAAGTTGGGGTTAAATTTCAATTTTGGAAGATAGGATAGAAATACCTGCATATTTACTACACACACATATATTTCCCACACCTTGTGGTGTTCTCTTGGGATGAATATGTACAAAACAGCCTACAGTATAAAGGAAAATAACAATCAAATTTAACATGGCCACATTGGGGCAAATCCAGAGGTTCTTTAAGGAGCATCTTTCAATCCTATTCCATCCCACAGTACTATGGTCCAATCATTCATTCTGCTTTTGTTTTCATGGCTGTAATTATTTTCACAGTGAAGTCACTGGGCTACTATATGAAGGAGTCATTCCTCTGCACCGTTTTAATTTTGACATTTCAGAGGATTTTGGTCTTGAAAACTGGTTCATCCACATATACTAGATTGACCAGTTTCAGTGAATAAACAAGAAGAAAGTGGCTGACACATAAAAAACAAAAACTCCACCAAAATTCTAGGTCTATGACATTTCTCATGAGGTAGATGAGATCATTTAGAGCCCTGGTTTGGGTTCTTCGGAAAACACAGATCAAGTTTTGACCCCATTAGCCAAGGCACACCTGTCAATCTTGAGACACAGTTGATATGATGCTGCTTTAATCCTGTCCTGTGCATCAGCATGGGTCATGGACTCTGTACCGAAGCCATCAATAGCCAGGATGACATCTCCAGGACACAGGTTGGCAGCTGCCGCCTTGCTTCCCGGAGTGATCTGGAAGATAAATCAAGACACCATTTAAAATCCAATATCCAGCAGTATCTTGAGTTTTTTTTTCTTTTCTTTTCTTTCAAGACAGGGTTTCTATGTGTAGTTTTGGTGCCTGTCCTGGATCTCTGCAGACCAGGCTGCCCTCAAACTCACAGAGATCTGCCTACCTCTGCCTCCTGAGTGCTGGGATTAAAGGCGTGTGCCACCGCCGCCTGGCTCAGTATCTTGAGTTTTATACTTAATATTTGAATGCTATCTTGGAAAACTTAAACCTAATTTTAAAAGAACTTTCAGTCGATCAATTGTGTTAATGCTATTTTATTATGTTTAATAATAACAAAATAATAATTTTGTTTCATACTAGCCATGTTTTAAGAACCATTCTGTCTCTTGTTATCTTTTAAATATTTTCTATAACTACATTTGTGAATATTTTCTTTGTCGAAAACCAGTACTTTTTTTTTGTTGTTCGCCAGAACTTTCTATTTGGAGATAGAGTTTTCTATGTAAATGATGACTTTGGTATACTTGAATTGAAACTACTTTAGTAACTTGATATGTTTTCATTTTTAACATTATTGTGAGGGGAACAGCATGGATTGGATATTTATATTCCCCAAATTCTTATGATGAATTTCTTACAAATTGGTGACTTTTGGAGGAGAAGCCCTTGGGAGGGTGGGCAGTCTAGAGCCATCATGACTGAGACTAGCACCTTACAAACAGACCTCTGAAACAGCTTTGTTGTTTTTCTGCCTTTTCTGTAGGGACACAAGAAGTTGGTTATTTGAAATCTGGAATAGGGCCCTTACAAGGCCATGTTAGTACCATGTTAGTACCTTAACCATGTTAGTACCTTAACTTCAGATTTCTAGCTCTTAGGATGGTAAGACATGATTTCTGTTGTTGAAACTCCACCTAGGTATAATAGCTTAAACTAAGACAGAACATCTATGTGTAGACATCTGAGGAGAGAGTCACTCTTGAGCTGACAAGAAGAAGCCTGAAAATATAAACATTTATAACATTATAGAGAACTGAAGTCACTGTGAAGAAAACCAGAAATTCAAGGAAAGATGGATACCTCCAAGGAAGGAAAAGCCCATGCCTGTACGCGAGCTCACCTGTGATGGAGCATGGAGGAAGAGGTGGCCATAATAAGGCAGTGAGGTAAAACATTGCTAACAGTTTGGTGTGAGTTAGCATGAATGTAAATAACCACTGACACAAAGGAAGTTTGTATTCAGTCATGGTAGCTACTCCATGAATGAAGAACAGGTGGAAGAAAACACCTAATAAGATAAGCTTTAATTAAACCAGGTCAGTAACTACATTAAATATAAATGGTCTAAACATATTACTTAAAAATCAGAGACTTTTCAAAATAGTGAAAAGCAAGATTCATTTTTTTTCTTTCTACCAGAAATGTGTATAATTTAAAAAAAAAGAAATGTGTATGATTTATTTAGAAGTAGAAAATGAAAGCAGTGCTTCAAGATATAGGAACATATATGTTACTGTGTTTTTAATGGTTAGAAATAGAAAATGTGGAATATTAGTATGCTGAATATCCAGTTAAAAATTGAAGGTCGTTTTGATTGTCATTCATACTCTCATTTTTTTCTGGGTAAAATTTTCTCTCATTTTTTTCTGTCTTGTACTCACATGGATATCTCCCTAGCTAACTGTCCAGTCATCTGATACCATTCCTGCTCTCCTTTATCCAAGATTCAGTGGCCATTTTGTTTTCCTTTCAGTTCGCAAGCAGAGCAGTCCTGTGCCTCCTCAAGGTTTTCCATGCATAGTTGTTTCTGTCCAAAATACTCCTCACCTGCTGGCTGCTTTTTATCCTTTAGGTTTAAGTGCAAATGATGCATTTTAGAAAATCCCCCAAGTTCTGAAGTATGTTTTCTCTAGTTTCCCAACCTCATTTTTCATTTTTATATATTGTTTATTTCCTTCAGGAAGATTACCTTTAATTTTGTATTTGTTTAGTTGCTTGTGTATTACTGTCTTGTTAACTAACTTCAAGCTCATCTGATGGAGGGCCCCTGACATGATGATTTAGCTGGTGATTTTTCAACTTCGCCATGGTTCAAAAGGTGTGTAACTCAGGATGAACCATACTTTGGGTTCTGTAGTGTGATCTTTTCCTTAGCCAGTGATTTGCAGTATAACACTTGCTCATGATGTTGGGAGGTAAGAGCAGAACCCCAGTCTCTCAGCAGAGAGAGAGAGAGAGAGAGAGAGAGAGAGAGAGAGAGAGAGAGAGAGAGAGGAGACGATTATGAAGTTCAGGTTAGGTTGGTAAACAACAAATGTTCTAAAAGTGTACCATGCTTCTAAGCTGTGGCATTGGGTGTGTTAAATCTATCAAGATGCATTCTGCATTTTCAACTTACAATACTTTCAACTCTTGATGGTGTTATCAGGATGTAGTCGCATCATAGGTCAGGGAGTATCTGTATTTCTAATGTTTCATGGTCTATTTCCAGGAGTTTAGATTTAATACATGAAAAACTGAAGAATGAGTGAAAAGGTCATTTAAATCAGGGCTTATAAGAAAAAGATAGTACCCCAAAATTATGTATGTGTGTATGTTTTGTATGTATGTAGTCTGTCTGTCTGTCTGTCTGTCTTGCTCTCTGTGTCCACACTCGTGTGCTCTGAGTACAGAGGAGGGCCTTGGGTGCCTTGTTTTATCCTTTTCTTCCTTAGTTACTTTGAGACAGGATCTCTTACTGAACCTGCTAGGCTGGCTAGGTAGAAGGCCCAGTGACTCTCTTGTCTCCACCACTCCACAATGATTGGGTTCCAGGTCCAGCTATGCCTGAATTTTTCTTGGGTGCTAGAGATCTGAGCTCAGATCCTCATTCTTGTTCAGCAAGAGCTCTCCCTACTGAGCCGTCGCCCCAGCCCAGCTTATGTTTATTATTGTGAACTTACTATTGCTATGACTGGAAACAGGCAATTGTAAATCAGAATCACCCACGAGTCTTGTTTTAAACTTCAGATTGCTCTAGGAATAAACTCTACTGTCCCCAATATGTTCCTCTAGGATTAATAGTCAATTTGCTATTTTCTATTTGCTTGTTCTAGCCCATTCTGAACCTCTAGAGAGATTCAAGTTCATTTAAACAAATAAAATTGGAAAAGCAGTAAGTTCCCATGTGTCCTACTTCTCCAGTACTATCACTACATTGTTTATTGTACTTGGTTAATTTCTGGGTCATGAAGATTTTCTAGTGGGAACAGTTGATACGGCTTGGTAAAGACAACTTGGCTCAGTACATCTTAGCCCTTGGAGGCTGTTTCCTAGATACGTTTCATTTAGAAGTTCTCCCAGACCCAGGACTGCCAGGACAAAGTTTCCATCTTCAATGGACCTCGTACACATAAAAATAATCCTAATCATTTAATATGCTTTCAATATAGGATGTCAAGGGCAGTACTTTCTATTTTTAAGCTTTTAAGGTCAGAATGCTTCATATGGGTTAAAACATTAAATAAGGCTTAATGTGCTTGCTTGTAAATCTCATCTTAGGTTTAGTAATACAGTTGAACAGACTCAAGTGTAGAACACTCAATCCCGATCTGGGAGTGGTTAACTTTTCTTTTTTTATTTTTTCTGTTTTAGCTTTGGTTATGATAAATGGAAAATAGAGCTGTGTGTCCATGTGTGTGTCTATATGTATCTGTGCTTGTAAGCTGTGTTGTTGGGTGGGTTAAATATACACATTTAAGCAGACATCAGAACTTGAATGTTGAACAAGTAATAAATATTGACTTTGTAGGTATCAAAGTTGAATATTTTAGATAGTAGAAGGCACTAAAATTTATTAACAGTAAATACTAAAGTTAAGAATTTCATCTTATCTTTGTACAAAATGCTAATCTAAAATTGTTTCCATTGTTTCAGCAATGCTCTACGATAGGCTGAGCAGAGAGGACTGTTTCGTTAACCCAGGGCTTCCTGCTGAGCTAAGAACAGCTACAGGACCATGTATGGACAGGACCAGGCACTTCAGAAGCTGGCTTGGTTAGCTTTAATTGTCATCTTGACACAGAGTAGTCATCTGAAAGGACAGCCCCAATTGAGAAATTGCTTAGTCTAAATTGGCCTGTGGGCATGTCTGTAGGGGATTGTCTTGACTGTTGATCAATGGAGGAAGGCCCTGTTATTATCAGCAGTATCATCCCTGGGCAGGTGGTCCTGAACCAAACAGGAAAACTGGCAAAGCACAAGCTGCCCAACCAGCAAGCAGCTTCCTCCATACTTCCTGCTGTATGTGCTGGCTGTGAAATGAGTTCACAGTGCTGTGTGAATGACAGTCAATGTTGGAGAGGATGCGAAGCAAAGGGAACACTCCTCCACTGTTGGTGGGAATGCAAACTTGTACAACCACTGTGGAAATCAGTATGGCGGTTTCTCAGAAAATTGGGAATCGATCTACCCCAAGACCCAGCCATACCACTCTTGGGCATATACCCAAGGAATGCTCAATCATACCACAAAGATACATGTTCAACTATGTTCATAGCAGCACTATTCATAATAGCCAGAGCCTGGAAACAATCTAGATGCCCGTCAACTGAAGAATAGATTAAGGAAATGTAGTACATAGACACAATGGAGTACTACTCAGCAGAGAAAAAACAATGACAGCATGAAATTTGCAGGCAAATGGATGGAACTAGAAAATACCATCCTGAGTGAGGTAACCCAAACCCAGAAGGACAAACATGGTATGTACTCACTCATAAGTGGATTCTAGGTATAAAGCAAAGAACAACCAGACTGCAACCCACAGAACCAGGGAGGCTACATAGCAGGAGGGACCCTAAGATGACTGTGGCTTATAATAAGTTTTGGTTTGACTCAATTACTGGGCAAGCCTCAATCAAACATTTCACTATTAGGATAAGAATTTATACTGTATCAAGCTGATAATAGAAAAAAATCACAAACAATACTGTGACAAATATCTTGCTACATGTACTTTATCATTATTTCATATTAAATAATTATTATCAGAAAGTTGGGAGATTCACCTGCCTCTGCCTCCCAAAATAATCAAATGAAATAAGATTAAAAAAAATAGGATGAAGGCCCTCTCGCTCCCTGCAATGATAGACTCTGATCTGGAATTGTTAGGCTGAAACCCCCTTTCCCCGACGTTGCTTTTGGTTAGACTGTTTTATCACAACAACCGAAGCGAAAGAAGAATGGAGGTCAGCTAGGGAACATGGCTAGTGACGGCAAGAACCCACGTCTGACTTTTTTTGTTTGTTTGTTCTCAACGCGGCAACTACTGTTTTTTGTCCTCCACAGATGGATGGATTGGGCAGAAAATGGATGTAGAGGGAGAAGGAGAGATTCAATGCCATTATTGTTTGTAGTTTTCTGGTTCAGTAAGGCTGATGAATAGGATGGCTAATGACTAAAATGACTGTTAACTTGACTTTGTAAGTTAAACCATTTACTGAGGTATAAGAATCCAAGGTCCAGCCGGGAGGTGGTGATGCACGCCTTTAATCCCAGCACTCGGGAGGCAGAGCCAGGCAGATCTCTGTGAGTTCGAGGCCAGCCTGGGCTACAGAGTGAGTTCCAGGACAGGCTCCAAAAGCTACACAGAGAAACCCTGTCTCGAAAAACCAAAAAAAAAAAAAAAAAAAAAAAAAAATTCAAGGTCCATGATGAATTTATATTATTGCTCTATTTTAATTTCTGTCATCTTATTATTATATTGTATCTTTATAGCGTGCTCACAGCTTTTTGTTACTATGCTTTCTCCAGCTGGGAGAACAGAGAGGTGAAATGAAGCATAGGGTTTTAGTTTTCTGTTATTTTTCTGTTTTTTTCTTCCCCCAAGACAGGGTTTCTCTGTGTAGCCCTGGCTGTCCTGGAACTCACCCTGTAGACCAGGCTGGCCTCGAACTTGAGAGATTCACCTGCCTCTGCCTCCCAAGTTCTGGGACTAAAGGTGTGTGCTATGACTGCCTGGCTGAAGCATAGGGTTTTAAAATGAATTATTTCGTATTTGGGCTCACTAAGGTCTTAACTATTAAAGTAACCAGAGAGATAATTGGCCATAGCCCTGCAGTTAATCACTCAGCATCACGATTTTAAACTTCCCTGTTAAAAGAATCACCTGGGGTCTTTGTTGGCCATAACGACTCCATTCAATACCAGATGTTTGGAATCAAAACTCAGAATCTCTAGGAAAGGACCCAGAGCTGTGTTATTTACAAATACCTTAGATGATTTTGGCTCTTCACGGTAACCTATTCCGTTGTCCTCCATTCCCTACCAAATAAACTTTGGAATCCTTACCAGGCACATAAAATCCTACCAGGACCTGGGTACTATGGAAGTTTCTAGAGTGACATCTCACATCATTTACAGCAGAATCTCCTCATGACCCCGAGCATAGGTATTTTGAAAGTGATTTGCGTGATTCGAATGTGCAGTCTGGGATGAAGACCATTATTTACTGTCACAATAGTATTATTATTGAGGGATATCATCTTGCTTAATTCTTAAGACAATATTGTAAAACAGTTACTTTTCTGTTATTTTAATATGAGAAAACTGATGCTCGGAAATTGTAAGATACTCATGTGGGGTTATTTATTCAGTGAAAAATCTAAAATTCTTACTGTGGCTGTTTCTCTTGATAGCACAGGCTCTTCTACTAATATGTGCAACCTCCCTGTGGGTGACCTCCCCACTACTGTTCCTCTTAAGCCATACTTTTCTTGGAGAATTTTGGACCAGTTTGTCATGGTAGCTTATGTTCGTGTCTCTTCTTCCGCTGATATGTAAGCCTCTCACAGGGGAGACATGCATCTATATTATATTATAGATCCATCTAAATTATAATTGTTCTCCCTTGGCGCTTTTGTTCTCCCTTGGCACCTTTCAAGTAATAGGATATTTTGCAATCAATATTATGAACATATGAACCAGTGAGTGCTTCTCTGTAGACACAAGTCTTAATTAGCACAAAATTACACAGGTTTTATTCACATCAGTCTTCCTACTACCCTGTTTTTTTTTCTGGGAAAAGATTATGTCCAACTACAACCATCCCATATTCAAATTTCAAATAAAGTTTAGATTGAAGCAACACACACACACACACACACACACACACACACACACACACACACGAGAGAGAGAGAGAGAGACAGAGAGACAGAGAGAGAGAGAGAGAGAGAGAGAGAGAGAGAGAGAGACAGAGAGAGAGACAGAGAGAGAGACAGAGAGAGAGACAGAGAGAGAGACAGAGAGAGCGACTGTAAGCATTAACGGTATGCTGACACACTCTGTGTTTTTTTAACTCAGGTCCATGCAGCATTCACAGCCACTGACCCTGGAGCCTTCTGAAGAGAGGGAAGAGGGGATAAAAAGGGAGGAAATGACACACCGGCCTCGGATACACACCCAATTCATATGTGTGAACAACTTGAGTTTGTGCTACATTCCATATTGGAATTTTTAAAATATCAACAATTTGTGACTTGTCTGTGAGAGTAAATCCACTTCCTGGTTGGTCAAGAAACTTCCAGAAGAACCTTTAGGATCTTCTTTCAAGAAAAACCAAAGAAGCTGACATAGACATGTGAAGTAACCACTTTCTGTGTCACTGTGTGACAGATTATCCGGCAGAATAACCTATAGAGGGGCAGAGGGCTGCCTAGGTGAGGGGTGGATGGGTAGGGAGTGGGGAGTTGTAACTTCGAAGTCTTGGCCCTCATGACTGCCTCCATGAGCCAGGCCCCACTTCCTAAAAGCTCCTATAACATTCCACCATGAGCTAAAGACTGAGTATTCAAAATGCAATACAGTGTGAAGCATTTCAGCTTTGAACCATAACACTCTCTTAAACTGAATGTCCCAAACCTACATTTTATTTTACACAAAATTCAGTGCATGTGTTGTCTAGAAATCTTGGGTCTGGTGGTTTAGTTTCCCACCTTTTGATCTATGCATGTGTTTCTTCAAAGTACACTAAAAATTATTGCACTGATTAGTGGGTCAGTGAATAATTATGGGACAGAAACTCTTTGTCTTAACCTTGTGAACTGCAGTTTCAGCTGATGGAGGGAGTAACTTGTTACCTTGAAGCAGGAGAGCATGGGAGATAGTTAGCAGCCTGGGACCCCAATTTCGGTTATGTACGCCCCCGCTAGTAATAATGTACTTGGCAGCCTAGTTCCTTTGCTTGCATATACTATGCATCTCTCCCACTCTGGTGTACTTATAGACCTTAGAATACTGTAGAACCTCCCTCCCATCCTATGCCAGGCTACAGGCATTCCCATCTCTAAGAATGATATGAGTTTTCTCACCCCAGTAGCAACCAAATTTGGACAGTTTCTATTCAAGTGTATTCCCATCACATATATGTATGAACAGAAGGGCTAATCCACCTTGATTTGGCTTTGGGTATATGCACAACAAGGCAAAACTGTGTTTCCTAGTAAACTTTTAGGAGAATTTCCTACTTACCATTTTATATCTATGTAGAATTGGCTATCATACAATTAAAACCAGTTGCATTATGGGAAGGGACATGCATAGTAGGAAAACTGAGTGTATGCTTAACCTATCAATCAACACAGAGAACCACCCAAACTACACGCCCCTTGGTAACCAACTCCTTCTTCTAAATCCCATAAAATAGGCTCAGAACAATGATGGGGGTGGGTGTCCCCGTCTCTAATCTGTACTCAGAATAAAGTTATCTTGCTGCTTTTGCAAGTCCTTGTGAGACCCTATTTTCAATTCTTTGGATCAGAGACCAAGAACCTGGCAGTCCTGGCCCAGACCCTATCCACCAGGAGCCCTCCTACAGGCTCTGGTTGGAGGTCTATTGTCTCCTAGGGAGCACTTCTATCTGGAAGCTCCTTGATGCAGGCTGAGGTTACATCTCAATCAACTGCAATTTCTTTATGCAGTTGAAAACACCTTAAATTAGCAAAAATTTAATGTATCAATCCTACTGAACATCCTAATGTAGAGAGTGCAATACATTATAGAGGCTCCCTGTTGCTCTCCTGGTCACGTGATTGACTCTAGCTGTGGCCTTTTGCCACTATCCAGCACCAAGACAGAGTAGCACACTGCCAGTTGCTAGCCCAGGCAGAGGCCAAAACTCTAAGTATGGTCTGAACTGAAGGTGTGGCACTTTCATACCATTATAAAGTGGTGGTGTCATGAATTGGGGGCCCTCCATAGTCTGCAATTATACGTCACAGGGCAGGAAGGGTACATATAACCTAGCTTGGAGGAGGACAAAAATGGATTAAAATGGCTTGAGAAAATACCTCTCATGTATGGAAGGACCTTCTTTTGACAGTAAGTATGGCTTTTGGCATTTCAGTCTTTTGTGTCCTTAAGAATATAACCAAACAGACAAACAGTTACCTTTATTGTAAAGTGAATATTTTGAGAACACAATCTACCTATTTGTGGTAATAAAGTGATGTAAAGGGTGAGCAAGTCAGTCATTCATATTATGGCTATATGTATTTTATAGCACATATGATGTACCAGACAGTGCTACGTATTGAAGTTTCCAGTGTAAAAAGGTTCCTGCTCTCAAGGAGCAAGGAGTGGGGTATGCTTAAGTGTCTGTGGCATAGACATAGGAGAAGATAAGAGGAGAGCTATGATTATGCAATAAATGAAACGACCACGTCCAGAGGAGAGCATGGGGAGACGTTTGGAATAGGTTTTCATAGGCAGAGAGGACCATGAGGTGGGGGTGGAGAAAAGAATTCTGGGAGAAAGTGGTGGGTGCTAGAAGCTCAGCCATGCTTGGGAGGTCACAAGCAGCCAGGGCTCCTCTCACTGTCCATGTATGGAGTGAGAGAAGGAAGAGGAGAGGGCAGGAAGTCCCAAAAGACAGTAAAGGGCTGAAGAACGTGCCTTCTGTTCGCGACAAGCTAATGATGTCACTGAAGATTTGAGGGAAGGATGAAAGGCCCCTTGTACTTTTCAAAGATGGATGGTAAGAACATGCAGGGTGAATTGGAGAAGGCAGGCAGGCTTCTAGGCAGGAAGTTATGATATCTTGAACAAAGACAGCAGCCCAAAGAACAGAAAGTGGACCTTGAAATAGAAGAGATGGGGCCACTGGCATATTGGATGTCACGGGGACAGTGAAGGTCATTTTTTTTTTTTTCATGTGTAGGCTTAAGAGGGCAGGTGCTAGAGCTGGGTGGACCTGGTCCTCCGCTTGTGATCATTAGTGAGCTGAAGATTGCCTTGAGGCCTCATTCCTCTAATCTGTGAAATGGAACCCTTTTCTTTCTGCTCTTACAGTGATGGTCTGAGCTTGGAGTGAGTTAACCAAAGTAACAGTCTTAGAAGAATGTGTGCTAAGCAAAAAATGTAACAGCATACACAATGTTAGCCAATACTTTCTAGAATAATATTAAAATTTACAAAGTAGAATGTACATAGTACATCCACTACATAGTAATAGCAACTATTTTTGACTAATTCCTCCTGGGGTTTTATCCAAATGATTTCTCATGTCTCTGTAATTTCAGTGGACATATTCTTAATAAGTTTCAATGAAGGCATAAAAGCCCAAGTGAGTGGGCTTGTATTTATTCAACAGGAATTCCTGATGTACATGACTTTAGAGACAATTGGGGTTGGATAATTCAGTGTTATCTGGTCCCTAGAAGTTAAAATAATTGAAAAGGCATACTTTAAATAAGTAATGTCTGGTCTATTATTGAATCAAGTGTCTACAGTTATGGCACAGATTAGATATGAGTTAGAAATCCAAGACAGAATGGCTCTTCAAATAAAATTGTCATTACATCAAGTGCATTCACTAACAGCTTTCATAGTCCAAATGCAGACTTAAGATTACTTTAAGATAATATTGCTTTTAGTGTCAACAATCCCAAATTTCAAACACATGATTCATTAGACAGATATGTTATAGATTATTAGTAGGGTAATTCTTTTGTAAGTTTCTTCAAGGTCTTTATGACATAACTCATTCTTTAGGATTTAATTTAAATATGATTTATTCTTTGTTATGATTCAAGAGCTGTTATTTAATACGAGCAAGTGAAACTGTATAAACTAAGCATATTTCTTAGTAGAAACAGTGGACATTGTTTTCTTTGGTAAATCTATAAAAGGAAGTTCTTGGCCCAGATCACGGAAGCATTTGCTGCTTAATTTACTTAAGGGCATTTCTGGGGGGTATGTTTTCATGTCTCATATAAAAACACATGTCAGACGTGTTTATATGTTTTTGAAAAATGTAAAACAAATCTTGAAATGCCCCATTGTATGCATCCCTATGATACATGCTTTGAGATTTTAAAAGAAGCAGAGTACTTCCCAAATGATATTGACATACATGTGTTGCCTTATTCAAAATCTGTGAATGATCAGATTGTAAAGCATACAATTTGTAAAATATAGTATGAACAGTAAGAAAAGTATAACATTTAGAAAATAAAATTATAATATTTGGAAGTTTATGCCTTTATGTTTAAAATGGCTTGCATGTGGTAATTGAAATGATTGCTTTCAAAAAATTTGAGAAACTATTAACTAGACCAAATAAAGCGTTACAATTACTCTAGAAATTTGTTGGCAGAAAAGGAACCCTGGGTTTCATTTTTACACCCCTCTTCTTGTTGGTTTCTGCTTTAGATAACATGGAATAAGGCAGTTTGCTTTTGCTACTGAAGTCTTCTTTTCAAAGTGACTAGCCTGAGTAGTTGTTCTCTATCAGGTAAACTATTGTACAGGTTTTCTTTGTAGTTTGAATTATAGGTAATGTTTCCTCAGCCAAGTTCCCAGCTTTGGAAAATATTTATTCAAAAAGCCTGGAAACGGAGGAATACACATTGGTAATATTTTCCCCGTCTGGGCTGATATGAGTGGTTCCAACTTGACCAGTCCATGCTATGCCCTGCGAACAGCACCCTGCTCAAGTTCTCATCCAGGCAGGAAAATGGCCCAGATGCAAGTTTAGCTCGACCAGATATCTGTGAATTCTCAGCACCTCTTTCTCTCTCTCCCTGCATCTGTTCACTATGAAAGGAAGTGGGGTGGGGAGAGCCCAAAGCACCCCCAGCTCTGGCACCCTCCTCTGAGCCCAGGAACTCTCACTGTCAGTTGACCTCTCCTGGAAATGTGGCCGGGGGATCAATCAAAAGGGATGCAGGGTGTGTGAGCTGACTTGGTTAAATCTCAGAACTGCTTTGCATCTTTTCAGCTTGTTGCTGAAGTCCAACTGGGAGCCAGAAAGCTCAGCCCCCCTCATCAACCCCGTGCATTATCCTTGCCTCCCTCCCCGGGCTTCTTGGCTATTCTCCTTTACCTCCAAGACCACTTGCCTGTGCCTCCTGGACGCCAGGGGACCTGTAGCAAAAATCAGAACGGGAAAAACACCTACCCTGGTGATGACCAAAGGCTGGTTGAAGTCTATGCCCCCCGAGAGTCTGAAGCCCCAGGGCGCAGGGCCCGGGAGGACCACGTTCTGGGGCATGATGCCTTCCGGCGAGTGAGTCCAACGATGGGTGCACACTGCGTGTCCCGGAACCGGACAAGGCACTTAGCTCCCCAGGCTGCGACCTAGCTGGGAATGCTGTCGGGGAGTTTTATCCTTGCTGCCCAGTGACGTCACTGGCCTCCCCTCCTCCCCGCCCCCTCCCACCAAGGAGAGCTCCAACTTTGGAAGTGAGAGACAACGCCTGGCTGGAGGAACTGCTAGCGGGGAGCGGTCGCCCAGACCTCTCCCCGCCCAAAGAGGCTTCAGGTTTCAGCTTCCATCATTCCCTTAAGTAACACCTGTCCTGCTTTTCGTCTACTTGCTCAGCAGTGCGCTTTACTGGGACATTGAAAACAATCAAACCACAGCCTCCGCGCTTTCAATTAAAATAAAACACAAACACATCCAGGCACTTAGGAATTTAGCAGTATTGAGTGCGTTAATATTTTCTTACTTTCTAACTTTGGGTCAAGTTAAAAGTCTTCATGTCTTCATCTGTAAAACAGGAGTAATTATTGTACTTGTGGGAGTCTTGTGAGAATCCGGTGACAATAAAATGAAATGTTTCTGCGTAGTGCCCCGCACAGCATAAAAAGTAAATATCAAGTGTTTCTGCAATTAAAGTATCAGTGCCTAATCAGGCATGTCTGATCTTGTGACACAGACATGATTTGTTATCTGTGATGTTTATGCTTGGAATTACCCCCCTCTCATGCCGTTACCCCTCCCTCCAAATCTCATGATGTGTTAGGTACATTTTCTCTTTGAGTTTGGGCTACATTCCTAGCTATCCCAGCTGCAGGTGGCAGCTTTAGAAAGTGCAGGGTCTGCAGGTTGGCCGGGACTGTTTGATACACAGGGGCAAGTGTGAGAACGTAGGCATTGAAGCTCTCTGTCTAGGTGCTGCGATAAAAGGAGCATGTCTACGGGAATGGGAATGAAGGGACCCGGAGGACCCCCAGACTGAGGAAACGTCAGTGGGTCAGAAAGCGGGTGACTGTTCGTGGATGCCTCTGTGGTCCAGGTGTGGTAATGACTGCTTTACCCGTGTCTTGTTCATCCTCACCAGTCCAGCAAATTGCTACGGTTAGTATCATTTCTTAGGCTAGGGAATAACGTCTCTGAACTGGACTAGCTCACAGATGATCACAAAGCTAACGAATGGTAGAAGTGAAATAAACAGTCCAGATCGCTCCACTCCAGTGGCCGCCTGGCATAGGAATGGAGGTCTTCAGGGCAGTCTGGAGCATCGTACTCTAGTTGTAGTACGGACTCAAGCACATCTGATGCTGTGGGTCAGAATGTTCTGATTCCCAAGAAGAGAGGCAAGGATGTGGAAAGAGAAGGATGAGATGCTTAACATCCCAAGGAAGGTCTTGGAGCATTCTGTTTGGATGCACTTGGAGAAAGGAGATTCAGGTGTGAGATGCCATGTGGATGCTGGGCATTGAACCTGAGTCCTCTAGAAGAACAGTTGGTGCTTTTAACCACTGAGCCATCTTTCCAGCTTTCAACTACTGAGCCATCTCTCCAGCCCTGTTAAACCACAGTTTTAAAAACCAAATATCCTAAGACCTAGTCATACGGTCTGTCATTCATTTTCATTTTCTTTTTTCTCTTTTGTAAAGGAAAGGACAGAACAGTGTTTCATAGTGATGGACTAAGAATGATAATAGAAAAACATTAAGTCTTTGTTTTCTGTGACTAAGCCATTACACTTCTCTAAAAGCAAGACGTGTTTGTAGAGTAAAAACACTGCAGTTTATAGCACACAATACACTCAAGCTGAACAGAGGTGTTCCAGGAAGCCTTTATTAGTGCTGCAGGGTATGATGGCATGTAACGCGCACATGTGTGTGCAGACCCAAGACTAGAATGCAGTCAGAGATGCAACATGGGCCAGCCCTTCCAGAAACACTTCAGATTTATGACGTGTTTGATTTTGAATTAATTTAGGGACATCAAGTATTCAGAACTTTTTTTTGCGTTTTTTTTGTGATCTACACATTTCATTTCATGAAACCCATATGAGATCACAACACACAGTTGAATAAGCTGTGATTTGAGATGAGGGAACGCTTGACAGAAGCATTTGCTGTACAGTCACGAGGACTGGAGTGCGGATCCTAGCATCCACTTAAGCTGGGCATTGGCTAATGCCTGCAACCCGAGCCCCAAGGCAAGCAGAGACAAGAAGATGGCTTGCTCGAGCTTGTTGGCTCTGGGCCTATCAAGTAGATGTTATCACAAAGCTCAGGGAGAGACCCTGCCTCAAAGGAACAGGCAGAGAATGAATGAGGAGGACACACAACACCATCTTCTGGCCTCTGTGCACATACACAGGTGCACATACCCAGTTTTGTGTGTTTGTGTGCACACACACAACCACATGCACACAAATAAATACTTTGAAAAAGCAGTTGTGATGTGGATACAGACAGCATTGATACAACATTCATATACCACCCCGTGGGTTCTCAAGGCTTTGCAGAGTGGGGAAAGAAAAAAAAAAGTGGCATGGGCAGCTTCCCTCCATCAGTGTTCACTGAGGTCTACAGGAGAATGTTCAGAGATGACCGTCCAAGTAAGAAGTGACAGCAGCTGTTCATGACATTTCCATTTTCTTTTTTTCTCCTTTTTTAAATGAAACCTCAGAACAGCATATTTGTAAGTTTTTATTTTAATTTTAATTTGTATTGAAAATAGTTTTTGTCACACAATATATTCTGATTGCAGTTTCTCCCCTCCCAACTCCTCCGATGTCCTCCCTACCTCCCCAACCCACCCAAATGCAAACCCATCCTTTCTCTCTCATTAGGAAACACATAAACAATTAAACAAACAAAGTGGAAAATGACAAACAAAAAAGAGCCAAAGAAAAAGCATAAGAAATGCAGACAGAGACACACACACAAATTCACACACACATGAATCCCACAAAAAAAAAAAAAAATCAAAATTGGAAACCACAATATACAGGAAAAGGCCTGTAAGATTAAAAAAAAAAAAAAGGCCCAGACAAAGCATTATGAAATAAAACACCTCTAAAAACACCGTTGAGTTCATTTTGTGTTGGCCTTCTACTGCTGGGCATGGGGCTGGCCCTTAAGTGTTGTTGTACATCATCTACTGAGACTCCGTTGGAGAAAACTAGTATGTCCTTTTTCCTTTTTACAATAGGACGTAGCTTCTGGGTTAGGGATGAGAGCTTGTGTACACTTTCCCTCTCAGTGCTGGGGCCCCGTCTGCCTTAGACCTGTGTATGATGCTACAGTCTCTGTGAGTTCATATGTACTCAGCCCTGTTGTGTCTGGAAAGTACTGCTTCCTTGCTGTCTTCCATCCTCTCTAGTTCTTACAGTCTTTCCTCTTCCTCTTCTGCATAGATCCCTGAGCCCTGAGGGGAGGGATTTGATGGAGACATCCCATTTAGGATCCCATAAGTGAGTTCCAAGGTCTCTCACTTTCTGCACATTGTTTAGCGCACATAGGTCCCATATACTGCAGGATGGTGGCTAAGCAAGACACGGATCTATGAGACTAGTAGAATGTCATTGGGAGTCATTAAATTGCTATGCTCTTTTAGCAAAATGGTAGTATTGGTCTCATGGTCTATCTGGTCTCAGATTCTCACCCACCCAAGCAGTGTCCGGCATGAGTTCCATCTCGTGGAGTGGGCCTTAAATCCAGGCAGATGTTCGTTGGTTTCTCCCACATCTATTGTACCACTATTGCACCCGTGTGATGGAATAAAGTGACGTAATCAACGGTCCTGGGGAAGGATGTCAAGAAAAGCTCTGTAAGGCTGACTGTAAGTGGGCAGTGCTGCTAGGCAAAGTCTTACTCTTTTAGCTTTTTGAAACATAGTCTTGTTATATATCTGGACGACACAGCACTCACTGTATAGTCCAGCCTGGCCTCAAGCTCACAACAACTCTGCGCCTCAGACTCCTGAGTACTCAGATTGCAGCCTGTGCTACCACGCCAGAATTCTCCTCAGTTCTTATCTTTTTTAAGGAAACAGTTAAGCCAAGAGACATAGGCAGTTCAAGCAGAAATTTACTTAGCAAAGCAAAGCAAAATATTCCAGGGAAAGATGAGTGGGGCCGACTCGAGGGGTGATAGTGGCCCATTGAGCTCTGCGGTGTAGATTTTAAAGAAGTTTTCTATAGTTCCTTGTAGAGAGCCGTGCACGGCCGCACCTCAAAGATGGCGCCGGTGTCCGGCTTCCGCCTTCCCGATGGCGGGTGTTCTCTGGGATAAACAACTCCTTATTTGGCTTGGGCGTGGAATCTGGCTTGCTTGCGTAATTCTGACCCTATCGGCATTGTCCACGTGGCACTACGGGGTCGGTTGCCCAGTGGCTATAAAGGGCGTGGGCTGACTTACCCCCGGGTCAGAAGATTGTTCAAGGTTCCTAAATAAACAGCAGAAAGAAGAGCTCGGTGTTGTGTCTTCCTTGCTGGTCGAGGTGGGTGCGACAGTTCCTTTCCTCTTCTGATGTCATCATTAACTTCTTCCCTTTGGGTACAACCTTCATCCCATTCTAAGATATGCTCTGGGCCAAAGATGGTCCTGTAAGGTTTTCTTTCTTTCCCTGCTTGTCAAGATGTTCTTTGATGGGTATGGACACAGTCATCATGAAGGTACACTGCTATCTGAATTTCTGATATGGTGGGAAGAACCTAACAGTGGCTACTGAGTCACAAAGTGGCATTTTAACCATAAAGAGACAAAGCTACCAGGATGGAGATTGGTTTCCCTGGTTTCTTGACATCTGACTCCCTAACCCAATCATATTGTACACAATCTCAAAAGAGGTGAGTATCCTTAACAGCGTCCTTCATCCCGATCATGTCTGCTTAGCTATCTATTTTAAAAGAAAGTTTTCCAAGTGGCTGAACGGGGGCAAGATTAGAAGGGAAAACCAAGTGTATATAGGGGAAGATAAGAAGCATGGTAAGTTAGGAGGTGAAAGGGATTTCTCATAGCTAGAGGCTGACAAAGGTAAGAGGCAGAGCACAGGTGGTCAGGGTGTCCAGAGGCCACACCAGAGGGGATTTTGTGTGGTGTACTAACATTTTTAGTTTATTCCATTAGAAGCCTTTGAAAGTTTTAAG